GCTAACTGGAAGTGATAAATTGAAACTCAGGAGCAAAATCAAAGCAGAAAACCTCTCTGCTATGTCTCTCTTCTCGTTTGTCAAAAACAAAATGCCTCATGTTTCAGACCTTGGTCCAGGAATGTACAAAGTTGCTGAATCCAGCTTAAAACACAGCGCACACTTTAGCCTCAAGTATGAGTACAAAAAGGTTTGTTTCTCTTTGACTTAATTATAAATGTGAACAATAGCATTTATTCCAAACAGCTGTAATTGAAGATAGAATGATGTTTTTTTTTAATCATTAAAATGTTCCTGAATTGGATAGAGTTAACAAGATGAGACTAATCGTGTGTGTTGCCACAACAAGGGCACAACAGACCAGTTGCACCTGAGGAAGTGCTTTTCAGACAGCACAGTAATCAGATAAACATTAGCCTGACAGGTTTCGGCTTTGAACACTCACTTAGTACTTCTCACCCCTAACAAGAAGGTAATGACTTAAAATCAAAGTCCTCATCAAATTATGAGGGTGAGTCCGGGTCACACTCTTGGTGGGCTTCAACATCCTTTTGATTCCAAAGCGTCACCTTTTCAAAGCTGGTTTTAAGCTTATTTTTTGGCCTTTGTGCCATTAATGAGATCTATAAACTGCCATTCATCAAGAGTTTGGGATGCATTTAAAACACAGCAGGGCAGCTAGGTGTTTTTAATAATCGTCAAATAATCACACGTTTAGTGTGAATGAGTCAAATCTTCTGGCCAGTTTGTGAGTCTCATAGCAATTTTATGCCACATTACAAACAACCAGCCCCATAATTTGGTAATTACGGCAATCCAAGAAAACAATTACGGGGTCGTTCAATTCAGGGAGGAAAAAGAAATTAAAGAGCTGACAAAAAACACTTACATCATTTTACTTCCCAAACTTTCACCACCAGTCCACCCTGCTCTGACGGCTTATTATGTCATTAAGGCACTCACATTGTTCAGCAAAAGTCTGCGAACAGAAACGAGACTTTTTGATTACCTCTGCTCGTCCAAGGGACTTGACATTTATCTGTCTAACACAGGCCAAAAACGTAGAACACATGGGGTCTGTCGGCTGATTCTTACTCAATTGTAGCGCTGTGACACATTTTGGCAGTTTCTCTTTACTGGGCAATGGCCAAAAATCCATCCAAGCAAGAATAGTTTAGTGATGTCTGCAAAATGCATGTAGTCACATAAAGTTATTTCACATGTTAGCAACAAGAGGGCCCGTACCTTTGTTTATGTTTTTGGACAACTCTAGACACCCTGCTGGATGAGATGGAGCAAATCATCATTAATGTCAAACAGGCGACTGAAGTCAGTGGAAACATTAATATGTTCTGCATGTAACGCAGTGTTTAGGGATGATTTGTTGAAGAGTGACGCTTTAATTTTCACCCTTCGCTCCCGCTGCCTCTCTCCGAAAGGGGGCCCGCACCCAAATTCTCTGGCCTCTTCCCTTCAAGGCAAAACCTAAATGGCCCTTAATGACTCCATGCAAACAACGTGTGACGGGGGACAAATTACTAAAACACTTCCCGCTTCTCCCCCCCCTCCTCCCTCTCCTTCAGGTGATACTTGAAAGGTCTCCGAGGTAGCCGGCGATCTACACCCTTCCTCCTCTGGCTCCTCTCTCTGTCACCCTCCGCAATGTCAAGGTGTCGCGACCCTTTAGCGACCCAAGCCCACGTTAGCCGTTGGACTTCAGTAGCCCGCAGGAGGGCATGGGCGACGGTGTGAAAAGGGATGTGAGTGTGTGTTTGGAGAGGCGGGGGGTGGGGGTCAGCATATACTAATGGGGTGAGACTGATTTCAGTGAGATGAGAGGAAGAGGGCCGTCCCGTTTAGGTCTCACACGCTTGTCGGCCTGTGACTTCTAGTTTTTAAAAAAGGCTTCTGGGTGGCTTATATGAGTCAGTGGTCACCCCTCTGCATCAGTCGCCTCACCTTGAGAATTGAATGGGACACATACAGCACTCCCCCCCCCCCCCCCGACACACACCACCACCCCTCCTTCGCGGCCCTGGCACCCCTCCTTTCCTTTAAGTCAATATGTCCGTGTCAGAGATGAAAGTGCAAAGTGGGAGGGACGCGGAGGGGGTCCTGACACTAATGTAGTACATTGGGCTTCACTTACTGATCTGCCAAGTTCTTTTGTCAAGCCCTAAATGCCTGCTAGGGCCCTTTGAACCGCTGAGCGCTCGCCCGCCCTCAGATGCCTCCTCCTTTAGCTTCAATGAGATATCCTCGGTGACATTCCCACAGTCCCGTCGCTGCGGACAGACACGCATAGCTGCACGGATGCGGCAAGGTTCAAATTCAAAGGCTTGAAAGGAGTCTGGGACCAAGTCGTGTAAATAACATCATTCGCCACTTCGCAGCTCTTGACTTAAAATGTATTTTCATCCAACCTGAGATAGAATTGGCTGAAGAGGATTGTTTCAGGCACTGTTTGAATCTGTGGTTTGAAAGCACTTTCATTAGCTGCCAAACACAGCAAGCCAGGTAAACTAAGACCTTTAACTTGCTTGCTTGTTTTTCTCACTCCCTCACTCTTGTCAGCTAATCTCTGTGGGTAACCTTATCCCAACTCTTGAGTGGCTGCCCCCCCCCATCTCCCTCCCTTCTCTCCGAGCCTCAGAAACTGGACTGTGAAACAGCTCTCCCCATTCATAAAGCTCACTCTTGTTATGCTCGACCAGCAGCAGACCGCATTTGATTGATTCTTGCCGTTTTATCAATTTTTTTCAGACCTTCTACAAATAGGGTCAACAGGCAATTTGTAGGAGCACCAGCTCTTTTGACTGATGGTGTGGAAATGTAATTTTGTGGTCCGCATCTAAATTCCTTCTTTTTAAAGGTTCAGTTCACCCAAATATAAAAAAAACCACAGACGTCTACAACTGGAACTACTTTCACTGACCTGGGGTGGCGGCAGAAATTTCAGATATGTGTAGTCAAAAAACCTAAAACAGTTTAGAAGGCTAGAGCACATGGCTAGATTTTTTTTGAAATTTTATTTTATTTTTGCAAGTTGTGAGAACCAACTGCAACATGTCTTACAGATTAGGTATTTTGTTCATATACCTGTCACCTTATAGTTGAGCCACTATCACTTTATTCTCCACGTGCAACAGATGCACAGGCCTGTTTTCTCAGTGTTGGTGGAGAATCTTCGACTGCTTAAAAATTAAAAAGAGATAGACATGGATAAACATGGTAATATGACAATGCAAGCCATAGCCAATAAAGTCCACAACAGAGAATCCCTTTTGTTGGTCAAATGATGTGCAGTGATATTTTTTTAGTCCACTCTGCTTTCTTTTGTGCCACATATTACTTTACATTTCTAGAATAAATCTGCCCTTCTGACTCCTGATTGGGCAGCTGCCAAATTGACCGGTAGTCCTGAGAAATGCATAGCAGAACCATCAAATTTGACTCACAGCCATTACACGTTATTTCCCCAAGACTGATAAAATGATAAAAGTTCTCTTTGAAAAAAATGGGATCTTCCCTTTCGCCACAAGCAGAGAAATGTTTCCTCCTCCTTGTGACTCACAGGTGGCCACATCCAGGCCTGCTGCTGCGCTCTCTTCCCTCAGTTGTGGATTTACAGTCATGCTCCGAGAAGTTTGTCACAAACATGTGCTTAAGAGGCGATGAGTGACTGCACAATGCTGGCTCTATCACAGTCAGTGTGGTAATTGCTGTTTATCATCCTGCCTTCTTTAAATCAGTTGTCAGGTGCCTTTATTTTGGACTCTCAGAGAAATCTTTTTCGGCAGTGAGCAACAGCTAATGTAAGACTTATTTGATCAAACAGAACCCCAAGCCATGTATTTGTAAAGAAATCATCAAACTATCTTTCTTGATAATTACTATTTGCTCACTTTTGCTGTGATTTCCCTCCCTTAGGCAGACAAAGCTAAATTAGTAATGCTTTAAATGACATTATACATGAGTTGTGTTACAAGGATTATTAAAGTGCACTGTGGTCGACAGGATCAAACCTTCTTGTTAGGCAGACAGCGATGAATCACAGGATAAACCCACATCAACCTCTATCCATTTGTGCTTCCAAAACACAAATGATTTTGTGACTGAAACTTCAAATCATAAACACACTGAAATAAAATGAAATAAAAATCATATTTTCCGGATAAATCAATGATTTTTGTTTATTTTGCTGTCTCTTTGCCTGATGTTGATCAGCAGCTGGAGCTCTTAGTCAAACACTCCTTTTCACTTCCCACTAAACTCACCACAGGAGGCCCTTTGAAATCCTCAACATGGGAAGTTATGTATGTAATCATTTAGAATCATTTTGAATATCAATGGCGCAGGAATGTCGAGGATCCAGTTTTAATGGGACAATAAAGGCCAACCACAAAGGTTTTCTTTCTTTTTTTTTTTTAAATGGCAGCAGGGATGTGGGCTCACTTTACTGCTGCCAGCTCGTAAACACATTCACACCTCTCTTTCATTTAAATGCGGGATAAGTTATAGCACATTATTGAAAAAATTCGAGGTCGACAACAACCTGCATTTGAATGCTGTCTGGGAGAGCCGAGGCCAATCCACAAAGCAGCAGCAGTTTAAAAAGCACCAACAACATAGAGAGAGGAGCAGTTTCTGTGGCTGTTACAACACAGCAACTCTGTTTATTTAACCGTGTAATAATGATGTTATTTATTTATTATTATTATTATACTATCACCTGGGTCCTAAAGTAATACAAATTAAAAAATATTGTTGGACGAAAAAGTTAAGTGGAATGAAAACTTGCTCAAATCAAACTCATATGAACAAACAAACAAACAAACAAAAAAGGGTTCATATTAACTCATGCCTCCAATTAGACGTAAATCTTTTAAATCATGTTGTCTTGGCCATATCTGAATACCAATTAAATCCAAGGTATACTGTAGGAAAAAAAATAAAAATAAAAAAACCAACCAAAAGGCAGTTCATCTCCTTCTTGTTCTCCTCTGCGCAGCGCTTTGCCCACCGAGAGGAAAAAACCCTCTCCAAGCTGATGGTCTCTCCAAGATTACCCTATCAGGTGCAAACCGCTGACATGTTTCCACCCACCAACAACAAAAAAGCCTCTCTGTGCCCAAATCTCAAGCCGCAGACGCACAAACACCACTGACAGGCACTGCTGCGCCATCATCAGCCCCCAAACCTCTCCAGGGATCCGCTGCTGCCGCCGCCGCTGCGATTTTCACACTAGTTTTTTTTGAAAAACATAACTTTTTTATATGCCTGGAGAAGTTTGTTTGTCCACTTTTAGCGTGGAAGGGCGTTATATTATCCACCGCTTTTCCCTTTTCCACGGCAGCGCTTGGTAGAATAAAATGACCCATGCAAGGTGTAGAAATCCCCCGCAGGTACGGACGGAGCTGAGGAGCCTGTGATCTCTGGAGCAGCAGGATTTGGATTGTGGGGGAACTTGGCTATAGGTGCGCAAAACTCGGAGGATAATTTTCTGAGCGACGGGATTTGTTTTGGAGAGTTTGACTTCTGAATCATTTCCACGCTTGGCACCGGTTTACGGAGACGTTGCGGGATTTCGGGGAGCGGAGGAGACTGAGCTGAGAGAAAAAAAAAAATCTGGATAATTCCCCCCCAACAAGGAAGCACCTAATGTTGCACCCTGTGACTCTGCTGCTGCTCTCCAGTGATCTATCCTTACACTGGGATTCAATCTCCTACTTACCCCCGGAGTTGTGTGCGTAAAGGACGCGCAGGGGAGCGAAAGCGACAGAGAGGGGGGCGATTTCGCCAACCTTTCCTGGGGCTCTAAATCTGTGGAAGCAGGTGTATTTCAAGTGTACTTCTGCAAGTCAAGATGTCTCTGCTGCCTTCGAGGTTCATATACGTGTAAGTGTTCCACATCTCCGTTTGTCTTTTTGCACATCAAATCATGCATTCTTACCAATAGAAGTCGCCAAAAGCTTCATATTTGCGCATTGCTTTCATCCAGGTAGGCTGCGTTTATTCTTCATGTAATTGCCTGTGTGATTCACTCCCCTCCTCTCTTCTCTCTCCCTCTCTCTCCCCACGTAGGTGTTTACATTTTCTGGTACTCTATTTCCATTTACAGGTATGTTTACTCCCACGTTCATCTCCTTTTTGTGTGTGTTTGCATGTCACTGTGCCGCTGTTTATTGTGAATAATGCTGATGATGGGTAGAGGTTATTTTGAGGGTGGTCTCCACAATATTGAACGCAGGACTGACTGACTAATTCAATCAAAATTAATTTATATTATTAAGGAGCATGTAGGGGGGGAAAAACAATTAGAAAAGTAATGCATGTGCTACGCAAAATATAAATCAATGAAAAGGATAACCTTTTGCAAAGTTCAATAAGTATAAATATATAGTTCAATAAATTACGAAAGAGACGAGATTGTAACAATATTATAAAGCTATACAATGAATAAAGTACCATAAATGCATTAAAAAGTAACCAAACTCATTGTTGACCACTGTAAAGAAGCATTATAGCAGCATCCCCGCGATAAGGAGATAAAAATTTAATTATTGCAATGTAGTATCTGTAAATTGACTAATGTAGAACCCTCTGTAGTAATTCATTAATATAACAGGAATCGCGGCATTGGGGAAACTCGAATCTGAAGCGCATTAACTGGACTAATCAACTAATATCTCCAATCAATACTATAAATCTAGCAACATCTAATTAAAACCTTTTGTTTTTAATCCGGAGTTCAAGTAGCAGTTTCAGTGTTTAACAACAGAATCGTGTAATAAATATTTTCATCCCCGAGGTTAAAAGTTGTTCTATGAACAGATGGGCTCCTTTGGCGCTTGTTGCCTCAGTTTTTTTTATTAGTTGCGTCTCACTTTGAACAGTAATGATTTGCAGGCATCCACTCACCTAATTGCGCGCCGTGATTCAGATAAGATGCAGAGAGCACGCTCCTTCACTCATAAAGCTATCTGATCACTTTATTGGTATGACGTGTTTGATCATAATATTCCACGTGCTGTTGTTTTAAATTAATTTTCTGTGTTTTTGATCTTAAATATTAAAACAGGATAGACTGATGTAAAAATAAAAAGAGAGCAGCTTAGGTTTTATCTCTCAACCTCTGGGATGCATTTGCTTTCACACAGCTGGCAACATTATGATTTTATGTAATTATATCTTTAAGAGATTACAAAAGAAGATTTATGGTTTTGTCAGAGAAAACTGAATCATACCAAGTGGAGTTAACATGTGACCTTTCGGGACAAATAAACCCTGCAGGAGGGAGAGTTTGTAAACTACATAAAATACATTTTATTGGTTTGCACAATTCTAGTTCTTTCATTTACTGCTGCTAGGATCAGCATGTCCCGGTCGGGGAGCCATAAGCTCTCAAGGACAAAATAACAGGTCTAAACTGCAGGAGTAAATGTTCTGACCCAGGGTATTTTAATGAAATCTCCTAGACACAAAATACGTATCAAACCCCAAACCCCCCAAAACTAGAAACTACAACAGTTACATAAGTCTATGTGCTCTGATTATTCCAACAGAGCTGGTGCAAACAAAGCTATAGTGTCGACTGACCATCCCTCACATGTAAGACAAGATGACGTTGATGCAGAATGTGGGCCAAAAGATGAATGAGGTGGACTGATATGGATGATATTTTAAGATTTATTTTTTGCTGTTTCAGTATGTGATTGGCATGTTTGTTGTGGTTTAGTAAAGTCAGATTAGATAAAGCCATTTATCAAACAAAATAAATGCCTTGTGGTTCTTGAGAGCTTTCAGGCTGATGATCAAACTGAAGAAAATACAGGAATAACCCTTTAATGCCCTCCTGTCACTTCGCCCCTCCATGTTGTTGGCCTACTCTGCGTCTCTGCGCTGCTACAAGCAGCTAATGGCTCTTACACGTCATGCTGTGGTTGTGATTTTATGAGGAAAAACAACAGAAGCAACCACACTTGGAAGTAAACTTTGAATGCACTGCCAACATGCGAGAGTGCGCCTTTCCCCATTTGTGTGTGTGACCCCGTCTGTGCGTGTGTCAGGCAGATAGCAAGGTGTATCTTAGATGGATGCGACAACTAAGCTTCCTGGGTAAAGATGAGCGCCAGACTTTTGAAGTTTCAACCATATCCGTTTTCATGCTGTGTCTTTGAAGAAAGGAGACAGCGTGATAAAAAAAAAAAACTGTTGTCGCTAGTGTTCACCTCAGCCATGTGCTTAGGCTTGCCTTTCCCTTGACGCAAAATGCAACTGTCTACCAAACACACCTTTATGTTTGTTTAGAGATGGGGAGATTTGGGATAAATCCCGTAGCAGCCCAGTTAGGCCACGTTTTGTTGTGTGTTGTGGCTCGTCAGTTCTGAGGTTCATTTGTGAGAGAGAGTTGACAACAGATGATGCTGTTTGACTTTGAAATAGATTGCTCATTTTCAACAAATCTGTGCATCTAGAAACATCTTTGGTTCCAAACTTTGTATTAGTGTTTTGTATTCGTATCGTTTGCCAGTCACGCAATTTGAATGCTGCTATGACATCTTGTTCCTTGGATGAGTGGACGCTTTTTTCTTTGTTGTGCCGGTTCAGTCGAGTTTCCTTGAAAACACCTACTAGACACTGAATGTTCCCAGCATCATTCATGAAAGCTTCTATGAGTAGTATTCTTGGTTGGGAGCAAAAAATAAAAAAAAAACTCCATTGTTTTTGTAGCTCCAATGACATGGCTTTTTCAACATCCCTTTAATTTCAATATACAGTAAATGTAGTTTTACACATTTTGTCTGTATCCATTTATTAATATAAGTTTTGAAGGAGGTAACATAGATGTGCATTGTGTTGCGTTCGGTGATCAGTTCCCTGATGCACTCTGTGCATCTCTTGGTTGAGTCCCGTATGTGCTAGTCCTGTTTGAATTGATGGGATTAAGGAACTGGCTGAGGGGTGACTATAGGGGTTAGGGTTATCTTTTTATGGCTCTTTCATGGTTGTCATGGCGGTGCAGTTGTTTCATGCAGGTTGTGTTGCATGTTGGAATACTTACTTTGAGAAAATGGATCTGGAAACTATGGGGGGAAAATGAACCAATAGAGCCATAGCTAATTTTGCTATCCAACCATTTCCGTAGTACAACTCCCATTAGTAAATGGGATAAAATTAGCATGTAGTAAAGTCGTCACTGTTTTTAGGTTTTGATGCCTTGAAGTCAAAATTAACACAGCAAATTTGTTGCATCAGTAAGTGTTTCATTTTGATATCCAGCCTCTCATTTTCTACACTGGGTCATGCCAAAAGTAACATTATGGGCGTGTTTCCTAAATGTCAAGATACAGAAGCTGTGTCCCAGTTCTTGGGCTGGATCCTCCAAGGTCCACATTTCTAGACCGAATACGTCATAATGAGGCAACGAGTACGTCCTATTTTAAAAACTCATCCAAATGTGGCTGAGAAACACTGCCTACTGCTTTATTTTGCAACGGATGGGCGCTTTAGGGTTTTTTCTTGGGAAAAACCTTTTGACATTAGAAGCTGACTTCCAAACTCACCATCACTTTTGGTTTCTAGAAGGTTAAAACGTCACTTTGGTGTAGGTCCAATCTGAGGGATCCGTCTTTGTTCGTTGAAGGATTAGGCGCCTGAATTGAGCCACACCTTGTATGACACACGCTTCATAAGAGCCTTGATAAGATTGGCTCACAGATTTGCCGATTTTGTGAATTTTTCTTCGTTTAAGGATTTGATCTTCTGAGGCCTCAATTTCCCATCATGTTTGCTACATGTCATTAATTTACTGAAGTTAGAATAACAAGTACTCGGGTATGTAATGTGTATATAATTAGCCACCTGAGAACAGCCACATAAAAAGCCATTACTGTGCAATTACCACACCATACAGCTGGGGAAATGGGATCTTGGCGTGAACTGAGATTCCAGGGCTTCTGAAAGTATACGTTACCTCTCACTCTTCCACATGTTGGGTGACACAGTTGCTTTTCTGACACGCCGTCGAAGTCGACGATTTCCTCTGTTTTTATGTCAGGTCTAAGGTGACTCGTAAACAGCCGGTTAGTGAATTCTGAAAGGTGGAGTTGGACAATATGGTCCAAAAGTCCTCCTACAAGAGTGTTTTTGTGGTTCAAGGTGCCTCTTGCCATCTTTCAGTCTCTCGGTCTTGTCTTCCGCCTGCTGCGTTTCCTAATTTATGGACCCTACTTCGCCTGCAGGCAGATATTTGTTTGATGATAGTGCAACAGGTCTGGATGCTTCAGGTGTATAATTGCTAGTGGCATGCTTGCTTGTGGAAGTGGAGTACAGGTTTCTCAATATCGCCGGGGGCACATAGTATACTGCTGTCTCAATAGAAAGCAGCAGAAGGTTGCACTATAAGCTTTGCACTTGTTCTGTGGGATTTCAACTCAAACGGTGACTTCATTAACACATCTTGTAGCATAGTTATCAGCTTGTAAATGCAATGCATATAAAATGTGCCAGTTGAAAGCAAGAAGAGAAACATTAAAATGCCACAGCCGCAATTTCCCGGTTGGTATCTCTTTTTTTAGCCCCTAAAGCACAATTTCTTGACACAGGGCCCATTAAAGCAACAGCACACATTACTATCAACACCTGTGCCGTGACAATGTCTCACTTTCTGTCTTTCCCTCTTTTTGTGTTTCTCTATCTGCTGTCTCTTTCTCTCTCTCTCTCTCTCTCTCTCTCTCTCTCTCTCTCTCTCTCTCTCTCTCTCTCTCTCTGTGTTTCCTCCTCTCTCACCCTATCCGTGCAGGAGTGCCAGCAGAGCTCTGCTGATTTCAGGTTTTACATCGAGAACCACACAAGGAACCCGGACGACCTGAGCAGGAAACAGGTCCGGATCTATCAGCTCTACAGCAGAACCACAGGGAAACATGTCCAGATCTTGGGGAAGAAAATCAACGCCAATGGAGATGATGGGGGCAAGTATGGTATGGGAGAACTCCTGTGCATCTCACCTGACACTTTAGCTAGTTTTTTATGACAGGATGAGAAATCACCACCACCTACCAGCCAGATTTTGGTGCTTCTTGAGATTTTGTTTCTGCAGCCACTTTGGCTGTTTACTGCCCATTGTTTGGAGGTGGTTTTTCCACGCTTTGTGTTTGGCTTGTGCAAAGTGGATGGTGACTTTTGGAAGCCACCAACTACTGGTTTGAGTGGCTGCAAACATTATGAAATTGCTGACCTTGCAATGGATGTTTACTGCAGCCTTTGGGTATCCAGAGCAAGTCTATTTTTATCTTGATAGATTTTTTTGGCCAAAAGTGTCAGAATACCTAATATGGACCAAAACTGACCTATTGGTTTGCCATTCTACAAAATTTTCTTTGATGTTGGTGTTTGGGATTTATGAGGTTTTATGGTCACATCGGATTAAATTTTGTGCATTACTCAACTTTTTTGTTTCTTAGGGTTGAAAATATTGATAGGAAAATGCAGGAATGGGACTGTGGCTGTCCATATTTGGAACTTCAGATATGTGACATCTTCAAATTGTATTGTCCCTGAACCTTAAAAGGCAAGAGAAAGTTAAAACTACAGATATAATCTTTCATCTTCTTCACCACACAGTGGTTTGCAATGGGCATTGTCTCATTTAATGTTGAATCTGGGCAACCGAGGCGATTTAGTTCAGTCTAGCAGTGTAAAAGCACTGCATTCTAACTTGAAAATGTCAACCATTAAGCATAAAGATTACAAAAAAAAAGCTTTTGACAAATTTTGTTTTTACATTTACATAATTTCACATTTTAAGATACAACTTCATGCTCATATCAACCTTAAAAATATTCTTTTTGCTTTCTGTGTGGACTCACAAATTATAATACAAACGAATGTGGCAGATGAGTAAATTGATGGTCAGTGAAGCACCCTTTGATGCTGTTGCACAAACATAAGGCAGCAGGACTTGTGTTGCTTTCCTGCAGATATTTTGCTCATAACAGCTGACTCACAGCTCGAAAATTGCTGGTCTTGAATGCCTCTGAGTAAGTGTGTTCAGTCGCAGATGCGCCGAGGCGAAGTTTCCTCACTGCTTGTTAGAGCTTGAGTGGAAGCAGATCCAATTTTTCCCATGAGGCCTTGCCAATTTTACCCTCCGCCCCTCCTCCTCCTTCTCCTACCCCCCACCTCCTCCTCTTCCTCCTCCCCATCCAGCTGCAGTACCTGGCACCTGTGAACTCCTTTGCACTCACTAATAATGCTCAGGAAGATAGTCTCTTTGCTCTAATCCACTCTCAGTCACCACAGCTTCACAGTGGAGGGCCACAAACCACCGCAGAAGAAATATATTGCTTCGATGTAGAGCTTTATGACCACTGAGTCCACATTAGTTCAGCCAAAGTGCGTGTGTTATCATTCTTTTTAGGTATTAGTGTACCATATTCATTACTTTTAAGAGACTAGAACAATCCTTTTGGAGAACAATCCATTGTAAATGATGCCCGTTGTCCACTCAGAGCAGATGGTGGGTCACTGTAAAGGCTTTTAGACTGATAAACTCTGCAATGTGGACTTAAAGCAGGAGATTTCAGCTTTTTTGACAGGTGACTGCATGCATTGTTCATAACGCGCCATGGAAGGAAACACTGCATTGGTTAAGAAGTCACTCAAAGTGGGATTTAATGTTAAAATATTCATACTTTTCTAAAATTTCTATCAGACTTTTTATGGCTGCCAGTTTGAGTTTTGAGCCTGAGAGCAGTTTAAAGAAATACCCAGAATACACAAAACATCACATTGACCACTCACCGACTCCATTTAGTGTGATTTTACCATCAGCGCTGGAACGCCTGGAACACTCCTGCACTCTTCCAACAGATTATCAAAGTGCCCTGTTCATGCATTTGCAGAAGTAGCAAAGATTTGGACAGGATCACGGACAAAGGATATCTTACAGTAGGGAGGGAAATATTGTTTTATCTGATGTTCTGGGTCGAGGCCTCATACTTGAGGTTAAATTTTGTGTTTCCATGCAAAACCAGCTAAGACTGAGGAGGCCAAAGTGCTGTCAAATGTCCCCTGATTTGAAATTATTCACTCATTTTTCCTTCTCAAGGACCCCAAAAAGTTCCAGACTGATCTTTCCAAGTTCCAAAATAAGACACATGGAAATCCTTCCAAAAGAGAGAAGGAATAACTTGCCTTAGTTTCACCTTTGAGACAGGTCTCCCTCTTCCCAATTTCCTCCCAAGGTTGGATTTAAGGGTTGGGGGGAGGAGGAGGGGAGTTACTTCTGCCCTCGGGCCCGTCCCATCCCCTTCGCCTATTCTTCCTCTGCTCCCTTGAGCGCTACTGAATGGCCCTGTGTGTTAAACAAATGGATCATCTTAACTTTTTGATTGAGTGAGCACAGACTAAAGGGAACTTGAAACCTAATCCTGAGGGGCACATAACCGCTCCACAAATGTTTGGCAGATCTCTTTGCTGGTCGAGGGGCGAGCAGAGACAAAGGTGACCTCGCAGGGGTTAACATTTAGGATGGGGAGGGTAGGGGTGGGGAGGTGATAAAAGAGCCGCCGGGATGCATCTCAAGAGTGGATTACCGCTGTGTCAGGTTGAAGTGAAGTTGGCATTATTGTTTTGGTGCATATGTGGTATTACATAGATACATTTATACACTTAATATACCTTTAAAAGACTTCAATTATTTGCTCTGGAGACCTTTAAAAACAGCCGGAAACACATTTGGAGAAAAAATGCTCATGCAATGTTTGCAGTGTGTGTTAAATCAATTTGCTTATATAGCCCAAAATGTATCTCCAGGATCTTACAGAAGTTTGTAATTTTCAACTATTAACTATATACTTTATTTAATACTATATAAGGCAAATTATTTCCTGTAATCCTTAATGTGATTAAAGATAATTTAGTTTCTGCTACAACTAATATTGGTGATTGACTTCTTTGTGTTGGTGTATATGATGAAAAATGTATTTATAAAGTAAACAGCTTCATAATGCACATTGTAGGCTAAATATCTAAGTTTTCTTTATGAGTTTTCTTCCCTTCACTGTAAAGCCTTCTGTTTGCAGTGATCCTTTACAGGACTGGAAATTAAACACGATAAATTTGAGGTCTTAAATATGTGGGGAATCAAAAAAAATAAATAAATGGAAGAGTATTGAAAGAAGTACAGGAAGCCAGACACCACTGAGCATAAGTGAGAAAAACATACCAGATTTGTTTAAATGTATGGGAATCCTTAAACCATGTTTATGTGAGTGGGAAGACTTATGCTTGCCCTTAACAGAGTGTACTTTTTCTTTTTCTTTTCCAGCTCTTCTTGTTGTCGAGACAGAAACCTTCGGGAGCCACATTCGAATAAAAGGAAAAGAGAGTGACCATTACATTTGCATGAACGAGAAGGGCAAAATAGTCGGAAGGGTGAGTATCTTTTGGTTTTAAGTTGAGTATTAGGAAAACATTTGCGTCAATATTTTCACTGACAAGATTGCATCGCCACTTTCTAATATCAAAATGAATATTTTAAACGGAGCTCTTAATCCAGGCTGAATTGAACGCAGCCCTTAGATCTGCTTTCTCCTGCTGTTTTTGTACACCCTAACAAAACCCCTTTGATAACTCACAGCCCTTCTTGCATTACGTAATCGGCCTACTCCTTTGACACTCGATCAGTCAATTACGGACTGCAATCACCACAATGCATTGAGAGACTAATGGTCACTTAGGAGGAATGCCATTGCAATTATATCACTTAGTCACACCAGGTGGCCACAAGCGCGGGATGACTGCATGTGACTCTGCGGACGACCGCTTCGATATGGAAAAGAAGTTAATATTTGAGAACGTACACTGTGGAGGCACACGTGTGATTTTGTTGCATCAATAACTCATGCTGTCAGCGTCGGCCGGGCTGTAGTAATTCACACAAGTTTTCACTCTCTCATCATGGTCATCTGTTAGAAACATGCATTTTGAGTTTAAGTTGCCAGGGCCTCATTTGTTTAAAAAATGTTCTTTTACTTCCTCCTTTAAACCACTGTAGGATTATTTTAAAAATCAGATCAAATGACGTTTAATTTGTTGATTGTTGGTGGATTTCAGCTTGGTAATGATAAATCACAGTAATGTGGACAGATTCAGTCAAACTCCCAAGTGATGGCATCAAGATTTTTAAAGGTTCATTTCATGCAAATAATAGGAAATATCTTTTTCTGGCTAACCCCTTTTATTATGTATATATGAAGATAATTTCATTTTTATGGGCCCTGACTTTTGAGATATCTGTCTCTGAGATTTTTACTGCCACTCCCAATTTAAAAATTCAGCTGTACTTTAGAAAGACTGTGGAGAGTTTTCAGTAGAACTTTGTGACAGAATTCTACATTTACATCAGTATCACCAGTAGAGACCAGCAATAATCATGCTCTGTTGGCGGACCTGGTCCGAGCCCATAAAGTGAAAAAGAGACGGTGGTTATTTAAACTCTGTGAAAAGGCCCAGCCAGACAGGAAGTAGTTTCATATTACAATAGAGCAGTACAGAATAAAGGCGTGTAGGTCAGATCACTGGTCATGTGAAGGTGAATACATTTACATTTAACCTTTTCTACTGTAAGTAAACTAACCTTCAGTTTAAGCCAAGTTTTTCTTTTTAGTCTTGACTCAAATCTTATGCTATCCCCCAATGGTATTTTTATTTGCCTAAATGTATCTGTTAGCTTTTCAGTGTTTTACAAAATCAGATATTTGTGAAGTAAAAACTTAATCAGAATTTTAGACTTCATGCTATTTTACACCAAACTACAAAACCCCAACAGAAAAGCAAACCATTCTGAGCCCCAGTGGAAATAAGCCAGAATGGCAGTTGAATAAGAGGTCATGCTGCCAGGTTAATAATTAATTATTGTCCTATTTTTTCCCCTTCTTTCAGCCCGATGGAAGGAAGCAGGAGTGCGTCTTTGTCGAGGAATTCCTGGAGAACAACTACACGGCTCTTGTGTCGGCCAAGTACAAAGGATGGTACCTCGGCTTCAACAGGAAGGGTCGGCCCAAGAAAGGGGACCGGACCACGCAGAGGCAACAGGAAGTCCACTTCATGAAGCGCCAGCCGAAGGGCAGGTTGGACCCGCTGGAGGAGTTTCGTTTCACCACAGTAACTAAGCGGACACGAAGGGCTCGGCGATTAAAACCCAACTCCAAGAGGAACTGATGGGACCAATGGGACAGCACTAATTTTTCCTTGGGGAAAAAACAAAACTGTAACTGAAAATCTCAAGCTTCTTGTCTTAAAAGAATCACCTTAAAGACTTCACTTCTGTAAAAGAGAGACAGACAAAAAAAGAACAAAAAAAAGTCAAAGATGTTTTATTTTTGTATTTCAGGATGACTGAATATTTCCTAACTCTTGGATTCTTCTGGGTTGATGTCATTGTGCTAACGTGTCTGTCATGTTATTTATACTGGATAAACTAAAGGACCTCTGAGAGAATTCCTGTCGCTGTCGTCCTCAGCTACGTTTGAACCGCAAGCTGAAGGCATGCTTTCTTTTTGACAATGGGGGCTAAAGCAGGAGCTGACGCAATGTTATAAAAATCAGCCAACTAGAGATTTATTGGAATACCTGTCGGTTTTTGTTTGTGTTGCCCCTGACAACGCGGATCCCATACTTTCCACTGGAATCAGACACCATGGAGATGAAACGGAGAGAGGTGGCAGTCGCAGGTGACACTGTGCTGCCGGGATAACTGTGTAGCTTTGAGTGCAATATTTTACAGGTCTCTCTCTTTCTCTTCCTCTTTTTTCTCTCCCCACCGTGTGTCTCTCAACCTCAGCTTCACTCGTGGCTCCTGGAATGCGCTGAACCCTCTGAGTGCTGTGTGTGATTTCCTTGACATTTCCATGGAGCCTGTGATTCAGCTAAAACACGACATGCTTTGACTAGTCGGGCACCAGCCGCGGCTTTAGTCTTCTTAAAACACACACGCAAAAAAAACAATGCAAACAAAAATATAACAGCTGATGTGATTCATAAATCCACTAAGTCTTCCAACTTCATCCCATTTGGGAGACTGATGTTAATCCCTTTCGTCTCCCCTTGGACCTTTTTAACAGCTCTTCCTCACACGTGTTAAAGTTGTTCCAGAAAAGGATGCCGTGATTCTTTGAGTGTGAGCTAGCTAATATTTTGGGGTTGGTGATGTAGACTTCCTCTACCTCCTTGTTCTTTTTGTTTATCTTTACCTAGTCTGACTGTCTGCATTCAGTTAATCTCAAGAACCATTCAGTCGACGCTGAGCTGAACCCCCCTGCCTCCCCGCCTCCCTCCCCCCTCCAAAATCATCTTTTCACTGTGAGCTCATCTTCGCTCCTTTTCACTCTCACTGGATGAAAGTCTCAAAAGATGCTTTTGGGAGAGCTTATCCCGCCCGTGCTTGTTTGTCAGATCAGTGATCCACAGACAGCAGCACTGTAGCTCTGACCGACCCTGATCACTTCATGAATCCACATTTTGACAATTAAGACTTCTCCTCAACTCGTCCAGGACTCTGGGAACATTTTCAGCGACGTGTGATCGAGTTTTGTGTCTGAATTCGAAAGGGAAAAGTCTTCTTCTTCTGTCATTCCTTCTCTCACTGACGACCAACTCCAGCCCTCTTTTCACCAGTAGTGTGTATTCACCTGTCTGCTGGCAGGTTTTTGTATGAGTTGCTACTAACAACATGACACATTTATGATTTTTTAAAAACAAATGTAAGCAAAAGTAATTTTATGACTATTATTAAGATATTTATTGCCTCCCTTTGTAAATAAAATGTGATGAGTTTTATTTGGCCTCTGTTAATAAAATGAGGACTATATTTTAAAAAAATACCTATTTTATGTCTTTATTGCACTTTGGAGAAAGGTAAAGGTAAGCGCCTTTATGCCTCGGTTTAGACTGGAATTCTATGATGTGCACGTAGAATATCATACTGCCTAAAACAGAAATGCTGCAGGTAGCAATTGGTTGGACATTGAGTACATTCCCTTCTCTGCATACTGCCAAGGTATGCATTTTTATATACAAACCCAAAGTGTGAGGACTGCTTTTAAGGTCAGTGGTTTTTAAATTGAGAAAGGCCTGTTGCAACATCTCTGAAGGCTTTTTATATCGCTGAGAGTTCACAGTTGGTGCCTTTTTTAAACATTGATATCATTACATAATTATAAAAAATATTTCTGGCAAAGAAAGTAACATTTTATCTTATTTATGTGTTCTTTTTTACACATGTATTAATGAAACGGGATTAAATGTTGCATCATAAACCACATCACAGCTGCAGTGAGTGGCGCAGAAGTCACAACACACACAAAAATCATATTATTTGTGAAGATGATCGGAGATGTACCTTTCCTAACCTTTGAGCACTTAAAACACAACTTTACTTAAATGTAAATGCTCCGTGCTCCAGACCAGTAAACATACAATATTTTAGACATTTTTCCATCTTTTAAAAGCGCTAAAGGAATGTGGAGTAGCATGTCTTATAATGCTGTGTGCTGGAATGATGTTTATAGTAACCGTCAGACTGAAAGATGGCAGCTTTGAGGGAGAAAAAAATACTTTTGTTTAAATTCCTAGCGATGCTATCAGGTCCCCCCCCTTCCCCCCTTCCCCCTTCCCCTCCACTCCACTCCACTCCGGTAGTTACCTCCGACAGACCCAGAAGTCCCCCGTTCTGTCATGGGATTTTGGACGTCTGGCCTGCTTTTAAAAGGTGGAAACATAGTGCTTGATGTGTGACCCGGTAATTCACCATTAACATAATGGATTGCCGCTGCTAGTCTCAGGGAGGGGGGGCAGTGAGAGAGGTAGCTGAGATGACTACGGGATTTCAAGGAATGTTTTATGTCCCTTCATCTTGTCATCATCTCTTTCAACTGCTTATTATCTCCTCTGGACAAGAATGATGATATTATTAAGAGGGAAAAAAAAAAAAACATTTCCTCCAACAAGCGACAACCACAGACAAGAATATGTCTTAAATGTGTCCTAGGAACAAGGTAAACCTTTGAAAAGATTAAAATAAATAAGTTTAGGCCACAGTTTTTCCATATAAATTGTCAAACTATTGTCCTGTGCATCACTGTGCACAGATATTTAGGGCTCTGAAGGACTGGGAGTTAAAATCAGTCTTGTACATGGTCGGTCGAGGAATTTAATCAATGCAACTTTCGAAACCCTCCAAATTCTATTTATGCGAGCAAGAAGCTTTTCTCTTTTTTTCCCATCCACATACTTCAAACTTGACCAAGCACAGCCAAACTGCATCTGGGTATATTGACATTTAAACGAGCGCCGATGGTTTCCAACGTGTCGGCCGATTTGCAATAAGGAGACGACATTTTTGCATAAGCCTCCCGCTAGGCTTTTCTCTGTCTCGACCTTTGATCATTGGAGGCTAGATGGTCTTGGAACTGGACCAATAACTTCAAAATGAAACATAGAATTCCCTTTTGCAAAGCCCAGCCCCTTTTCAAAGGAGGTGGAATCTTTAAATGCAGTCCTGCTTGCCAAGTAGTTTATATTCTATTATTAGAAAATCTCTGTGCACAATGGATACAGTATGACCAGAAAGCAGTGTCAATTTAGAGAAAAGCTTTGTGGTTCTGCATAAGTTATACAAATTTTAGTGGGACAACCAAAAGTGGTTCTTTGGCCTCGAGATCAGCAACCACACACTTAACAATTAGCCCTGTCAACAGAAATTTGTTCTGTTTGAGACATAAAACAAGTTTTGTCTCTTTGAATATTACTGAAATTGTCCCTCAAGGTCAGTGAAAAACAAAACTCCAACGCCAAACAAAACAGAGTTCAAGCTATAATATACCTTGTGCCGTTAAATGTAGTTTCACGTCATGTCATTTACTGTCAAAACAGGACTGCTGCTGCCGCCCTTCTAACTCATGCTAAACGAGAAACCACAGTCGACTGGTCGCCGTTTATGACTGTGAAATCCACAGGGGAAACACTGATTCTCAAAGTATTTTTGAACACATGGCTGAGTTGTGTTTTTACAGGATTACAAATGTGCTTACTGTACATACAGTTTCTGGAAAGCCAGACCTCTTCTATGTTCTCTCCATAACAACATGTGGGCAGCATGTTATGAATAAGGGTCAAAATAAAGGTCAGTAGGTGTTAAATTTCCATATTATTCCGTCTGAATATAAAATATTGATCATGATGAGTTTGATCACATAAATAGAAAGTAAATTGTGACCAGTAGAGTAAGTTTTCTCTACTGGTCACAACTAAAAACATGCATTTTTTTTTTTATAAAAGAAACCTGCTCAGGAAACATACAGATTGTCTTAGTCGAGGTATCTGAAGACCTCTCAGTCAATCTGAGAGCTTAAAATCTTAAAATCTGTTGCAAACTGAGGTGGTTGGATTAGGATTGGAATACACATTGTGCCTTGAAATAAAACTTTAAAGGGATATTCACACCAATTTTACGCATGAACATCAGTTTATCCGTCACGAGAAGTACTACACAGCCTGTAAAAACAGTATTCTGGGTCTCTTAAAGAAGATTTTAAAAAAGGGTCCCGAAATCATGTCATCTAAGCTAAACCTTGTGACTTCAAAATTTGAACAATTTTGCATTAAAACTTAGGTGTAAAGTCTAAAAGGCAGGGGTGTTTACCAGGCATGGAGGATCAGCAAAAGATGCTATCAAGTTGCATTTTGAGAAAAGTAATATAAAATGTTTTTAAAGATCAACTTGATACAATGGAATAAAAGCCGGGAAATTTCAGCCTCGGCTGCACTGACAAGATTCCCAACTTTATGGATTCATAAGATAAGACCTTTTTGTATCCCACATAGGAGATATTGAAGTCAGATACAGCAGCTATAGAATTCTACATCGGCTGGAGATCCACCTACAGCTGTGACAGCTTTTGGATTTCACTGCACCGGCAATTGCGTCTGCACTGATGTGTTGGATATTAAAGGTAAATTGACACTTTGATGTACCTGACACACACGCACTTACAGCTGATGAAGTGAATAGTGGTATATAAGCAGCAGTAGTTGTAGCAACTGTATGTCAGTGACAGCAAAGTGAAATTCTGCTAACACCTTAAGTGACATAGAGAAAGAATATTATCATATCATATTTTGCACACATACAAAAAACTCTCACACAAATACAAAATACTCATACGTCTGCATTCATACACAAACCTTCAGTTCTTAGTTTAATTAACTTTTATGCACAGGGAGTGTTATGCCTTTCATTCAAAACAGATATATAAAAAATATCACAACTGTTTTGGTAACAAGGCTGTTTAGAATGGGTAGTGGCAGCCACTATGGCATTATAAAAACCATCAATTGATAAAACAAAAGCTTATATAACGTTGTCCCCTTTCTTACTCTGATACAGGCTATACACTGTATGTAGTACAGAAGTATTTGTGATGGGAAAGATGATTTACTTTGCTTTTTTATCAGTTTATTATCACATATATAAGTCCATTATTAGATTTCTTGTAATGTGGACTCACATGTCAGAGCTTTTGTATCACGCACAAAGGAAGTTTCCACTGTAAACCTAGTCATTGGTCACATCTCTTACCCACATTAGTTCAGCGTTGTCGTCTGAGTAGCTGCTGGAGCTTCTTTTAAGTCTGTTGTGGTGTAAACACTCCAATATAGCTCTTAACAGTTGTTAGTATTATCAGATAAATGATTCTGGCCATTCAAATTAGAGCAAAAACTATGAAAAACTTTAGTATGATGACATTATGTACTGTAGACTGAGTTTCTATCGGTACCCCAACTCTCACTGTCTTCCAGCATCACTGAGCGCAAAGCATGCAAAAACATGACTGAGATAGAAAGTGCTGAAACACACTGATCACACGGCACCTTAGACAGGGAAATTTCCTCATCATTTTCATTCACACCTTCGAGTTATGACTTTTACCTGCTGCATTGTCGTGCCTGTTGCAGGAGGAAGAAGAGACACACAGTGATGAACCGTATGTAAACATACATGAAAAACATTTAATTTTTCTTTCACTTACACAAACAGACACTCCAGTCAGGCCTTGTCCCAGCATCAACAGATGCCAGGTGACACAGCTCATTAACTTCTCCTTTCTCCTATTCTTTTGGCTCCTCATTGTCTTGAGATATGAGATGAGCCTTTGTTGAGAGTTTTGCCCCCTTTTCTCTCGGCCAGGCAGGGCCCATAATTAGTGCTTTGCGCTGGGCGTACTTTCTCACAGGGCTACGACACAATTAATCAGCACTTTCCCACCAATGGGCAGTAGTCGCTTGATTCTATCAAGGCCACATTTTTAAGTTGTGACGCCTTTTTTCCAGTAATGGAAATATAGGGACACAACAAGGAGTTTTAAGAATAGATGCTACGTTTGTAGGATGACCAATTAACAGATGTATTACTACATTTTATAGGCCTACTTTTAGGTAAAGCTAAATATTATATGAAATTACTTAGAGTGTCAAAAGTTTTGACTATGACTGTGTTTTTGAAAATCACATTAGTTACCTGCCATCTGGTAAGCTCCACCTGTCAGGAGCTCCAGAAAAAACAACTCTAAGACGGTTTTGCAAATTCTGTCTGGCTCAGATGTGTTAGTGGCGTATGGAGAGCTTTGTTTGATCCGTCATCTGATTCAGGGGCTTTTTTTCACATTAAACTCATGGCTCGATGTGACTTTAAGCTATGATTCTGTTAGACGGTAAATGCTCTCTGCTTTCTCATTATCTTTCCCTTCATCTCATAACGTATCATCCTCTTTAATTACCAGTTTGTTTATCGTCTTAAATCTGTGATCTTTGGTAGGTTATTA